ATCATTCAGGAAATAGCTACTTTTGAAATGTTAAACTTCATATTTTTATTTAATTATCTGGCARATACTTTCTTCTGCTAATCAACCTCTTTCATTCTCTTCCATTTATTAGACATGCTATGGACTTCTTCTAAACTCCCAACRTTTCTGTAGAATTCTTTTTGTTTCACAGACAGCATGCTCTGCTTCACAACCATCTCAATTCAGCATAAGCCTAATTTTCAATCACTTCATATATACTCTAAGGAGCACATCTAATTAAATTCAACCACTCAATTCCCAATTCAGGATCCATCCAGTGAGATACTTTTTTTTTCTACTCCTATAGTCAAGCTCCTGAGTAAGTCTATAGAAAGTAGATACTGATTGAATCTATTATAAATTTATGGTTTCAAGTATTAACTATTAGCCTTGAGTTATGTGAAGAATGCCTTTCACAGAAAATGCACTAAATGGTATACAATCTAAATTTAAAACTTTGTGCTTCACATCACTAAAAATACAAAAAGATAAACTATTAACTGGTATGATTTGGTAAAAGAACTTGCATACAGAATATATTTTAAAACACTTGTTAAATTCACTAAATAGAGGCCAAACAAATCAATTAAAATGCACAAAAGGTTTAAGTAGACATTTAAACAAAGAAGCTATAAATAAACTAAAAACTACCACTGTTATCAAGTGTAGACCACGATGAAAACTGTAAATATTATGCACTGATGATGGGAATGAGTTCGTATAGCAATTTGGAAAAGAGGCCATTTCATAAAAAGTTAAACACAAATTTGTCGTACGACCTAGATATTCAATCTAAATGTGTCCATCAAGGAGAAGCAAAACACAGATCTCCTTACTRTGAATTTAAGACTTCACCATTAATTCTATAGCAGTATCATACAAAAGAGTTAAAATAGTAGAAACAACTCAATTRTTCATCAACTCACCAACAGATAAACACAAAGCTGTATATCCTACCTATCATTCAGCAATAAAAAAATCAACTACTGAGATATATTACAACATGTATGACCTCAAAAACATTGTGCTAAGAAACTATATGCAAAAGACTATATGAATCCATTCATACGAAATATCCCTCATCCATAAAGACAGAAGGTGTTCAAGTGGTTGCCTAGTGCTGAGTGTCAAAGTGGAGACGGATGGCAAATGGCACTGAGAGATCTTTGGGGGAAGGGGGAAAGTTGTAAATCTGGATGTGGCAGTGCCAGTGCTTGAACAACTCTATGAATTCACTAAAAATCACTGAATTGTACGCAAGAAAAATTTTTACATGTAAGTTAGATCTCAACAATGCTATTATTCTATTAGTGAGGCTTTCAAGGCCTCTCTGCAAACCTTTTAATTTCAAATTTTGATAAGTTTCTCAATATCCTATCCTACACATATGTTCCTCACTCTCAGCGATTTATTAGCTTCTACTTTACAGAGAAAGTAGAATTATAAATTCCAGGTACTTCCCCACACCTCCAAAGTAGTSATAATAGCACTTTTTCTGTTTCAGAGAGGGAAGGGTCTCTCCCCTCAGCTAACTTCATAGTGCTTACAATTTTAAGTTCTTTTCTTAGTCTGTTCAGGTCTCTGTAACAAACTGCCACAGACTTGATGGCTTCTAAACAAACAACAGAAATTTCTCATGGTTCTGGAGGCTGGGAAATCAGAAGTCAAGGATTCAGCAGATTTGGTGTCCAGTGAGGTCTTAACTTCCTGGTTCATAGACCACCATCTTTTTGCTGTAATCTCACATGGTAGAAGGCGCTAGGGAGCAATCTTGGATCTCTTTTGTAAAAGTACTAAATCAGGAGGATTCTGCTTTCATTATCTGATCATCTCCCAAAAATCTACCTCCAAATATCATCAAAATGAGAGTTAGACTTAAACATATGAATTGGAAAGGGAGTATAAGAGTTAAATCTATACAGTCCAATCATTTCTAGTTAGATTTTTCCAATTTTTTAAAAAGAATTATCATATTATTTTGTCTAGGAATTCACTCTTTTAATGCCTGCTGGAATTTTTACATCCCCCAAACAAAACAGAGAAAACCAGTGATAAAGTCATTTTCCTCCTATCCCTTGTGATCACTTTCAACTGGCCACCTTCCTCACCTTTACTGTTACCTTTGTGAAGATCACCTCTGCTTTCATTGTGCTTAACCTTCTATTTCCTTCTCATCTCTTATAACCTAGCACACTCCTTAAGGACTTCATTGAAACTAATATTGATATGGTCACTAATAAGAAATTCGTCGCCAAACTACATTTCTTCAGAATCTGACATTGTTACCTATTCCCCCTTCTCTCCATTTCAAAACCATCATCAGTTAACCCTAGCTCAGTTTACCCTCCTCAGTTTTTGCATCAGAGCTGACCTCTCTGACTCTCCAATGTCTGAGCTTCCTTTATTTACTCTCAAGATGTTAAGGGCAAATTTGCTCTCAGGATTCATTTTCTCGCTCCACATCAGAGATTCAAATGTGCTTCTACTGTGCATAGTGTCAATTCACACAGTGATTAAACATGATTTAATTAGTTACTGCCAAAAAAGGCCTTAGGCTGGCCCAAGGCCAGCTCCACTGAGAGATACTAAGGCTGGAAAACTGACCTTGAATTTGTGCTTTCTTGCATTAAAACAACAACAACAACAACAAAAAACTTGGAGATATGGCTCAGATCATTTCACCACTGTTACTTGCACCTGGTGGGAAGCTTCTCCTCACTGGTGCATTTTTCTTTCTGAACAGGCAGTATCATTACCAGCTGTACCTCTGTCAGAAGCTTTAAGGGACATGAGTAGTTTACACAACTATAAGCGAAAATGTTGTCTCCTGCTTTATATAAGCATCTTTGCTTATATAGATTATTTGCTATTGAAGAAAGATAATATCTTTATTCATTGTCCTCATAGATCTGTTAGGAGAATTACCAATATTTAAAAATTAGATTTCACACAAAAGTCTAGACCCAGCCTCACTGGAAACCTCAACTGGTTTGGCAACCCTGTGCCTTTTTTTTACCACACTCAAGTCTTCCCAAAGGCAGCAACCTCTAGAGCAGAAGGGGGCTGCCAACTTAAGTTGGTCATATGCACTATGTTTTTTGGCTATCTGTAAACTAAAGTTCTCATCAGAAACCACCTTTGCTGACTCRTGGCCATAAATTTCTAGCCTCCAGAACGGTGAGAAATGAAGTCCTTTAAGACATTCACTTTGAGGTATCCTTTGATGGCAGGCAAACCCAAGTTCCTCTAGGAATAAAGGGTGTCCCCAGACCCATTCCCACTGCCATTTTTCATTTATGTCTTCATCTACTTTTCACATGGACTTTTTTTTTTTTTTTGGTACTGGGAATTGACCCCTGGGGTGCTTCACACTGAGCAACATCCCCATTCCTTTTTTATATTTTATTTAGAGACAGGGTCTCCCTGAGTTGCTAAGTGCCTCATTAAGTTGCTGAGGCTGGCTTTGAACTCATGATAGTCCTGCCTCAACCTCCTAAGCTGCTGGGACACAGGCATGTGCCACCACACACAGCTGGATGTGGACTTTTACAATCATTTYCTAAGCAACCTACCTGCCTTGGTATCAACCATCTCCATTAATCTTATATTTCAGAGGGAGGATTCATTCAAAAATACAATGATTATAACAACCATTGCATGCTTTTGCTTTGAAAAAATTAAAAAGCTAATTATAATTAGTAAAAATTGTTCATTATTATCTGTAGGCTCAAACACCCTAGAATGTCTCCCTAAGTCCTTTATCTCTGGTCATTCCTAGTACACTAGCAGAATCACATTCAATGTTCCTTATGCCAAAATATTTTGGGCCTCTATGCTCCCATTCCCAAAATTCCTTCTGGTTCTCCAGGGTATGTGTCACAAATCTTATGTTTTTTTCAAAGGCTCTACTTAAAATATACTGTCTTTTGTAAATGTTTCCCTTTACTTTAACTGTTATGAATATATTATAAAATTTCCTAGGGAGTCTCTAACATGCCCATGAGGATTAAATTTATTTTATGATCTTTTCTTAGGTTAAAAAGGAAATGGGGTTGGTATTGATTGACATGGAACATCTTTAAGCAACACAATACTTAGAATATACCATAGCTGGCTATTGCAAACCCTCTTCTTTGGGGGGGGGGGCATTTTCAATCTGCTAGTAAGAATTACTCAGCTATTCTTGATTGCCCATCTACATTGTTACCAGAAGTTGATCAGATGGGAACCTACAGCCTTCACTATAGCAACACCAACAACTTGAGTCCTTGCTATTCCAGCTAGCTGGTTTTGTGCTATTATCTAAATGCATTTCAGTAACATAGCTTTTAGAGAGAATACCTAACAAATTAAAAAAAAAAAAAAAAACACCCTTGAGGATTTTTTTTTTTTTTTTGGCTTTTGAGCTTTCTTATTAGTGAACTGTTGAAAAGCCTTATTTACTAATTTGCTAAGAATCAATCTCAAATATGCTTCATATTATTTAAAAGAACTTTAACTAAAGTAGCTGGGAAACCACAAGGATGAGAGGTAAGCTATGTGAGTCCTTGAGAAAAGAAAAAGGCCAAAAAGCAAGAGTTGTATGTTTTTAACAATATCCTCAAGAAAAACATCAAACTTTTAATCTAATGATGTGAAATAAGTTTTAATTCTTATAGAATTAGCTTCCCAGTAAATCAGAGGGTATCTGCATTAGAAAAAAAGAAGAATCAGCATTCTTTCAAATATAGAAAGTAAGTCTATGTTTATAATTTTGCTTTTATAAAGATTAGAATTATGTCTTGTCATCAGCAACACAATTGTTCACTATCACATAGTCAAAATGATCTTGCAAACTAAATCACTTTAGTTTTTTAAAAATTCCAAAATGATCTCATGTCAAAATAAAGCCTTCTTTGTATCTATTGTAAAACCCTTGTGACCTTATTTGTGAAACTGCCTCGTACACTCCTCACCATCACATATGCTGACAGATTTACCTGTCTGCATCCACGGTCACATCATGAACACCTCTCTGAATGACATCTCTTGAAGTAGTTGTGTCTGGTATTCGATTCAGACTCCGAGTGTACAGGTTAAGCCCTCCATCTGTCATGTACCTAAAGAAAAATGTCTAATTAATCAAGAGCAAATTAAAGAAACCCCTCTGTATAATTTTAACTTAATAAATTGTATTCTCAATTTTAAATAATTACTCCAAATATATTCTTAATATTTTTCTGTATAAACATTTTCCTCATCAGAAAGAAGTAAAACATCTTTTCAGTTTCATTAGAAAATCAGTGTTTCTTACTGCAACAAGTAGCCTAATATAAAACTTGTTTTTATTTTTTGCTATCAATATTTTGCACAGGTTGTGCATAACCCTGACAAAATACTAATATGATGATGTAATTTCGTAAATACCATTTTTTGAAGAATTGTAGGTCATAGGAATAATGGAACATCACTAATCTTACTTTATTTGATAAATAACAATTATGCCACAGTTGGTCACTGTCATAAAATAATTGTTTCCAGGACCCATTCTAAAGAGCTTACTTTAATAAAGTCACATTATTATCTACATTTCAGAAATGAAGAAAACAAATGCTAAAATGTTAAGTACTTGTATATGTCACTCAACCACCCATGGCAGAGCTGAGAAATGAGTCTAGAAAAGTTGACTAGAAACTATGATCTTAACTACTATGCAAAGTGATCTGAGATGGAGGGCCTACCAACCCCCCACTTCCTGTCTTTGAGATCACCCAACCACCACCATGCCACRGGGAGGGGATGGCAAGTCCAGATAGTCAACATACTCTTAGATAATATTGCTTCCTTGGCTACTGAGTTTAAATCACGGTATTTAAACCATGTGGATATACATCTCCAAAACTGTTTTGTTTAGCATTGCATGGTTGTCAATAATGTGATGTGATGTAAATAACGTGATGTTCTTTTGTGACTTCTTTCACTTATATTCACTTATATTTTTCACAAATTTTTCATTTTGATGTATAACATTTTAGAGCTGTAGAGTGCCATTTTATAACTGCACTATAGTTTTAAAATGTATTTGACTATCAATGTGAGTTGGTTTTAGTCCTGTAGATGCAAACAATGTTGCCATAAATGTTTATGGGCATGTTTCCTTGTGCTTATTGGTAGTAGTTTATTTAAGGTCTATATTTGGGAGCAGGATTTCTGGGTCCTACAGATATATACATATATCCTATTTTACTATCCAATGCCAAATAATGTTTAAAATAATTTCAGAAATGAAACTCCTGTTGGTGGATGGGACAGTTCATTATTTGAGAAATTTGCCAATATTTGGTATTTTTGCATAACCTGAGACACATGAAATGATATCTAATTTTCATTTTAATTTACATGTTCCCATTACTAAGTAGGTTGTTCATACTATTATTTTGTTATAGGCCATTTATGTTTATATAAATTATATGTTAATGTGTTTTGCCCATTTTCTTAGATTCTACTTTTTTGTTTTGTCTTCCTCTCTGATACTAGTCCTTGTCTAGTTAAATACACTGCACATATCTGTGGCTTATATGAAGTTAACCTTGGTGATTTTGTCTTGATCATTATTAGTATGTAATATTAACTTTTCTGAATAAACGGAAGGTTGGCTTAAGTAGCTTTCTAATTTCACATAGCAATAGTCCCTGTTACGTCTGTGTAATTTAAAAATTGTGTAGTAGGTTGCTTTTGCAGACTTTGGCTCTAGTGCCCTCTCCCACTTTTGTTAGGACCTTCTCTGTTTGCACCTTTATTGCCAGCCACTCTCTCTTCAGTGTGATTCTACTCCCAACACTCTGCCTCCTGTAGCCCCTGTCCTGGAAGAGACCCATGGCTGGACCATTTGAATACTTTACAGGTTTTAGACTGCTGTGTTCCTGTCATAAAGTGACCATCGTCGCTCGCAACTCTTGGCTAGTCAAGTGGCCCAAATCCCTACCAGAATCAGCCAATTTCTGTGTGCTTTAAGTCAGTTTTGGTTTCCTATTTGAGGCTCTTTTCTCTTAGTATCATCAGATGTCCCTTTGCTATCCTCTGTGTCTTCTTGGGAGTTGAGACAGTACCTTGTCATCATCTTTGTTGTAATTAATTATCTTCTCCTTTTTATACGCCCCCCTTTGGCTCTCTTCCAGTCTGGTTCCAGTCTGCATTCTTAAATATCATGACATAGTGGCCCAATGACATAGTCTACCTGCCCAAGCTTCTCTCTGAGCATCTAGGTTTTTATTTTTTTTTAATACAATCATTAAAAAAAGTTCAAACTTTTATTAGTATAGTTTTCTTAGCTAGCACATTTGCAATAGRGGGCATCTTTTCATGCTATCTGTGCTGAAGTATAAATTTTAGGATGATGTATCAATCAACTGATCAATCATAAAACACTGCCCAGAATGCAATAAATAATATGCCATTGCTGACTAGTACTGCCAGCTGTTTTTTTTTTTAACCATTAAAATTTCTGTCTTCACCAAAAATGGCTCACATCTTGAGTATGAAATCAGAGGYGGAATTAAGATTAGGAATCAGGGGCTCACCAGAAGTCCTCTTAGTAGCTCAGGTACCCTGATCTTCCCACTGTTATGCATACTGTCATCATTCAAAGTTTACTAAAGGAGAACTGAGGAGGCAATAGTAAAGCCTTCTTAAATTCCATGCCTCAGAATTCTTAAATTATTTTGTATTTGAGTCATGTGGTTTGAGGAGAATTTTAATTTAAGGTTACATGCATTGCTTATACTATTTAAAACCGGGATGCCTAAAGGTAACTTCAATTTCCACCCAATTAAAAGTCTGTAACTTTTCTCCTAATTTTCCAGTGTTACTTTTCTCTTTATAAATGGAGACTTTTTCACACTCATTATAAATAAGAGGCCTTACTCTGACTAATTCCTAATTACTGAGAGATTCACATCCCCAAGTGTGTAAAGTAATTTCAAAAAGAGAAGAGATAAGTCTTTGCATGCTTCAAGAAATTTTGAATTCTCAGAATACCAATCAAGTAATTTTTTTTTATTTCTACCTAGAGCATATGGAAAAAAAAAAGAAACTTCATTCCCATTTGCACTGACTTCATGCATTCTTAGGGTTACATGAGGGGAAAAAAAAATCCTAAATCAAACATCTTCATTTTTTACTGTATCTATTAAGACTTTTGTTCCTTTACACAGTAAAACATACTTAAAAAAACTGTCAAGAGAAAGTGAACTTTTTKATTTAATATTTTTATGAGTTGTTACACAGGTATTTCTGAGCCCCTTTTATGACTTAAAGAAAATATCATCAATTTAAACGCTTTCTAGGATAGCTCCATCTCTTTCATCTCCTGACATTTAAATTCTAAGCTGAGGTACTGGGCTCCTTCCTGCAAGTGCCAAGAAGGGCACATTACATACACTGGTRAGCAACGTGCCACACCCCTGGCTGTCCTTCAGTCAGTATCTTCCAAACACCCTTGAGCTGAGACCATCCCCATCCCCTGTCAACCATGTCTAGTCTTTCCCACACAGGAAACAGCACTGACTTGAGCTTTAAATTTCATTCTCCTGCCCTCTCACATGGAAAAGAAAAAAATATATAAGCCCATGCAGGTAAATATCTCTTGAGGAAGCTTTCAAACAGGATTAGGGGTATTTGTGACATAGGACATGTGGGCCACCAATGCCCATTTAAAGAGACTCCTTTGTGAGACTGTCCAAGGCATTCTTTGAAAGATTCAAGGAACAAAAATGAAGGCGTATAGAAGTATGAAGCAGATATCAAAGGAGCCATGAAACAAGTAAGAGAGGACAAAGGATCTAAAACATTTTCTTTTTCTGAATAGCCAATTCAGCAGTCTGGCCGTGTCTCATCAAACCAGCTTCCTCCTCCTGTGCACACAGCTGAACCATATTTTCTTGACTCTCTTATAGTTAGATGTGGCCATGTGGTTTTCTGGAGAGAAAATGTGGGTGGAATTCATCTGCAAAATGTCCAGGCCTGGTGCAAACAAAATATTCTTAGACCATGGTGCTTCATCTCTTTTGTCTTTTGCCTATTGAATATCAATGTCCAAGGTGACTTGATAATAGTAGAATTATCATCTTACTCTCTGAATGACTATGTGGTGTACCTGCCCTAACTGAAGGTAAACAACACCAGGGAGGGTTTTATGCGAAGGAGAATGAGCTTATTTGTGCTATGTTACTGAATTTTTTAGATTGCTGTGTTACCAAAATTAGTATTACCGAATACAGGTAGTATTCTAGAAAAGACCAAATGTTCCTGAGGAAGGTATGCCTGTAATATACGTTACTAATGAGAACTCAGTTGTTTAAAATAGTTCCTTAAAATCAGAATACTTATGCACACAAAAACACACATATTTACTTATTAAATGAATAAGCACTTACACAAGTACAAAAAATGTTAATATGTGAACTTTGTGTGGGTAGGTACTGTGTATCTGTTGTTCACTATTACATGCTCAGTGCCCAGAATGTTGCTTAACACACAGAATGAACTCAACAAATATTTTTGTAATATACATATACACACACACATACATATATATATGAATATATATAAATATATATATAAATATATTCTTCTATAATAATATATATAATTGAATTTATATATACAAATATGTCTATGTATATGTTATGTATGTGTATGTGTGTATGTATATATAAAATATATATGTATACATGTATGAATATATATAAAAATTGAATTTATATATATATATATATATATATATATATATATACACACACACAAACACACACACACACACAAATGTGTGTATATGTTTATTAATTTATGATTTCCCTTTGTACATTCTTTCCCCAGGAGGCCTCATGCCTCCACAATGTCCACTATCTTCTACTGAGATATCTCTCTCTCCTGGACACTACTTTTGCTTTTTTCACAAACTATATCCCACTCTTTCCAACGCATCTATACCCTCAACAAAAAATCAGCTCCCTCTCTCATCCTATTTTCTTCAACGGTATCCTTTACTATCTCCTGTGTTTACAACGTAGGTATCTTGACTGATTTCTTTCCCTCCCATATATCCTCATGTGTGGTCCATCATAATCCCTGCAAAATTTTTTCTTCCAAGTGCCTCCCTCATCAATTATTTTTCTCACTTCACCCCCACAAATGCCTTCTAACCTTGAATCTGAACTCTTAACATAGTTCCTGAATCTAGCTCCAGAGTTTCTCATTTGTATCCATTTTCCACCAAACAGGTCTTTCAAAAACTATCACCTTCTTCATGTCCTGTTCCGTGACTATTTCATAATCTCTATGAAGTTGCAGTTCCCATTGTTGATAGTACACAGTTCAAACTTTCTAGGATGATGATGTTGAGGCCTGTTTTGACAGTCCCCAGCTCTTGGAATTTGTCCTTAAATATTCATCTTCCATGCCTTTCAGTTAGAAGAAAGAAGACTGAATATCATCTGACCCAACTCTCCCACTGGTTCTAAAAATTATCTTTTTGTCAAGTTTACTGAATGGCTTACACCTTCTTATTTAAACTTTTCTTACAAATTTTCTCTTTTAGCATAAATTTTCCTCATCTACAGTTATTTAAATCAGGAAACAGAACTAAACTCATTTCTATTTCATACCAGAGTTTAGCACTTTSTTCTGATTCTGAATTTAGCTCAGTTTTTATCTACTGAATCTCTCAAAATTATCCACATGTTGTATGTGGATGCTCCTCTGATTTCTGATTTAAGCTGTTCCCATGATACGCTGTGTGCATAAATGCACTCAATCCTCATCATTCACAAACTCTGCATTTGTGAATGTGCCTACTTTTCTAAATTTTATTTGTAGACTCAAAATCAATACTTGCTGTACTTTCATAGTCATTTGTGGACATGTGCAGAAAAGTGAAAAATTCAAGTCTCAGGGGTTTTCAGGTGAGGCCAAACAAGGGAACACTCGATCTACTTGTTTCAGCTCTCATACCACCCAAAATGTCCTATTCATGGTCTAGTGCCACCTTTTCACATTTTGGTCCTTTCTATTTGAAATCTTAAGACTTAAAACACCCTCTAGGTGTGGTGCAGAGGTGCCATCTGTGTTCCTAAGTGCGAGAAAGCTAAGAGGTGTCTCACAGAGAAAATGTATTAGACAAGCTTCAATTAGACATAAGGTGTGGCATTGTTGTTTGTGATTTCCATGTTACTGAATCAAGGGTATGTATTCAATAAAGTGTGTTTAAGCAGAAACACTCATAAAACACGGTTATATACTGATTATTTAATGAAAATGTAACTAGAAGTTTGCAGAAACCTAAACCTATTCTTCCCCTAGGAGCAATGGTTCAGTGCTCACTAATTCAGTACTTGTGTGTCTCATATAATAAGACAAAACTACCAGGAATAATAAAATTGCTTGGATATATATATATATATATATATATATATATATATATGCACATATATAAATATATGTGCATACATAGAATATATATTTGTATATAAAATTAAATATTCATTCAATGGATTTGAAGAGTGAATGTAAAACATGAAGATACATATATATTCACATTTAAAGAAATAGAAAAAGAAAGGAGAAGATAGGAGGGAGAACAGAAATAATGGAGAAGAAAAAAGGGAAATATGAGGGAAAGATTATGTCTCGGATATTTCTATGTTGCCATGATGTTCCCTGGACTGGGTATTCCCTTGTAGGACACATTACATATGTATAAATATGCTAACTAAAAACAAGTACAGTTTCTATCATATTAACTATAAGAAATGTAATGATAAGAAGGAGGATAAATCTATCAAATACTTAACACTGTGCAAACTTTGGGATAAGTGAAATTTTGTTGATTATTTCCTTTATTCTGAAAAACTTCATGAAGGTGCTATAATTTTATCCTTATTCCAGCTAACAAAAATAAGTAAATAAAAGAACTGGAGTAACACAAGTTCCAAGTTCCCAAGGGGTCCAATGATAGAAAGGAATTTGGTTTTCACTCTGATTCCAATGACAACCAAACTACAATCTACCCTCCTCATCATTCATCTCCCTTATCCTAAAATTGTTTGAAACTCCAATAGGGTGGATACCAGAATATCATAGCAGAGCAATACATGTGATCCAAAGCTCTTTTTTCTTTTTCTTTTTTTTTAGTTCTTGTCATCATTCAAACATAAGCTCTTCATCAATAAAATCAGGGAGGGTTACCCATATGGAAGAATGATTTCTTACACTGGGCCTCTAAAATGAATAAAGATTAAGAGTAGGTCAAATCTCAGACTCACATGAAAATTACAGGTAAAGTTCATTGGCAGACTTTTCCATAAATTACAGAGCCTCAGTTTTGAAGTCATACTACCTGGATTCTAAAGCAAGTCTGGCCTTTCCTATGTCCACCATTTGGGCCAATTGGGCTCAGTTTCATTATATGCAAAAATGTCTAAAAATCTCCTCCCCAAAGGGTTGTTGCTGGAGGGGAGATTAAATGAAATAATAAATTTAAGCTCTTTAACAAAATATGGTAGATAATAGGAAGTGCTCAAAATGGCAATTATTAGTAGAAGACAGTTTAAAAGAATATCCTATGCCTGCATTAGGGCTCATTCTCTGATTAAACCAAGGATTCCAAGCTGCCAAAATACAGGGGAGAATATAATAGAAGACAGAAGGAAAACAAAGACTAAGATTTTTTTTAAAAGTGTGATACCATTGAAGGAGAATATATTGATCAAAACTTTCTACTCTAAAATTATTTTTCCCTCATTTAATTGGAAGCATATAATCAAAGAATGCTAGAATTTTTTTTTCTCTTCAAAGCTGTTAGAGGCAACCTGAGCCAAAAAAGAAAGTCAAGCAGTTCAGCAAAGCTCCTCCTGTCTTCTTCCCACGTCCTTCGCTACAAAATCTGTTACTGAGAGCATGTGAAAACCACTCTGAAAAATACAGGCCACATGGGTTTCTGAAAACTAACCAAAGGAAAATTTACTGGCTTAAATGAAAAGAATCTACAGAAAACTCAGATATTTTACTTTCCATGTATGGTACTGTATACCTTGGATTGTTTGCTTTTCTAAAGATCAGGTGAGTGAAACTCCCATGTTTTCACAGGAATGTATTCCAAGAGGCCACCTCCCCTACTCACATAGTGCTGCTGAGATCAGGACCACTTACCCACTGTTGATGTCATCAGTTCTGAGACTTTTCCCAAGAATATCACCATCACTCATATATCCACCAACATCCACTTCAGAAGACATGTCCAGGTCACTGCTTGCTTTCTCGCTCATGTCAATCTGTGACATGTTTCCCAGCCGTGAGACGGCAGCTCTGCGGAGAGGCGTTGTGTACATGAACCTGGAGGGGTCAGTGTGGATGAACCGACTGGTACCGCTACGTGGGTAGCCAGCACCCATGGAAGGAGCATCACCCGCCTGCAGGCGGGGACATGCCTGGCCCAGCCTCCAGGTCATGGGAGTGGGTCGACTTGTCAGGTTAGGTATGGTCCTTCCATTCACTTCTGTTGTCACAGTGCTGTCAAATGTTGTCTCCAGGGTGCTGTCAAATAAAAAGGGAGATATAACCCACCTCTGGTTCAATAGGGCCACAGGCCAAAAATGCACAAAGACAAGAAAAGACCAGAGTCTCATTTTTTAGCAGCATAGTACTTTCATGAAAGCTAAATTACTCATTTGTGATTCTAATCACTTTTGCATATGTCAAAATGTGGGAAGGGAAGTTCATTTGCAGTTATTTTTTGTTTGTTTGTTTGTTTGTTCTTTTAAAGGAAAGGTCATCATTACATTTTGGATAAAAACCAATTTGTTTCACTTTCCCAACAAATTCTAAGCTAAACCCACTGTAACCTTCTGAGACCTATCTTGAAAATTAATTGCAATCATGCTTGAATGATTTCTATCACTCCTCCCTAGGCACATATCCATTGAAGTTTCTGCCACTCTTCTCTGGGACAGGCATGAAAATCTTAGTTGTGATGGGGTAGTTGCAGCTGCTAATTCAGTTTGAACAGCAAATTATACAGAAGAGATGGATAAGGGGAAAAGTCTCTGGGTGTATGCTGAGAATTTTCAGTTCAAGGATTATTACTAATTGATTATCATGTAAAATTCAAATGAAAAAATACTAAACGATAAGTGAAACTTCTTCTGTATCATTATTAGAGAAATGAAGTGCTTGACTGTAATTGTTTTTTTCTTTATTGGCCCAAAGATTCACAGAATTGAGAAAAACCTGTGGCTTATTTGGGTCCCACGAAGACTAGACATAGTTTCTTCTAAATTCTGCCTCAAATCTGCAATGTTTTTAACTGTTCTCATTCTTCTTGTTTCAGGGTCTTCACCTGGAAGAGAAGCATGATAATAAATTCATGCAATTTACTGTTCTTAGGATAATTTGTATACATAGCCAGGCAATATAAGCCCTCTTCTTAAAAGTCAAAAGATAGTTAGGAAATTCCAAATAACTCTTATCATTTGAAAATTAGAATTCTTCTTTCTACAAATAAAATGTGATCAGAAACAAATGTAATCTCACAAGTAGTAACATTTAAGTGTAAAAAAAAACATTACAATAACACTTGTAGTTCTATGACCCTAATCATTGCGAAAATAGCCACTCAGAAATACACTGTATGTCCCTGTGGCTCAGCAGGTAGAGGCAGGAGGGTTGCGAGTTCAAAGTTAGCCTCAGCAAAAGCAAGGTACTAAGCAACTCAGTGAGACCATGTCTCTATATAAAATACAAAATAGGGATGGGGATGTGGGGATGTGGCTAATACTTTGTATGTGGCTTAATCTAAAACTGAATGATACAAAGGATTATTTGTATATTAATTGTCTCAATAATGACCTATACTTAGAATGGGTAGGGTAAACTTGCTCATGTAGCAAGTACACATTTAGATTTTAGAATACACAAGAGGCCTTTTCTCATAGAAACTAAATAGCTTTCATGAGTTTTTAATTTTATTAGACTCATGGACCAAGATTCATAATATTGAATGTCTTTATTTTTAATTCTCCACTTTCTATAGTTTACCAAAACATCCACACTGGTGACACTAGAATTCAAGTAAAGTCCTTGAACCCCAAATGTCTGTCTAATGGGTATGAGACAAACCGCTCTGTGGGTGTGGTCAAGGCTGGCCTGCACACAACCACACATGTCATTTTGCCATTAAGCCATTTTGTTTATGGCTATGAAATACTTTCCAGCAAAGCCTCCATTTGAGGCTGGTGGGTCTAGATAAAAGGAATAACATGAAAAGAAGAGAAAACACAGTGTTTCTTCTGTTCCATTGGGGTGAGAGGGATGAGAACTTAAAAAAAATAAGCAAGAAGGAAAGAAAGAAGAAATGAAGAGAAGGAAAGAGAAAGGAAAGAAGGAAGGAAGAAYTGAAACACATTATCAAGGAGAAGGAAGAGGAAGAAAGGAGAGGAGAACAAGAAAGAGGAAGCCAGGATATGTTAGTCAAGGAATGGAATAGAAATAAGATAGAAGAAAAAAAGAAGGAAAAGGGGGAGGGATAGGAAAATAACATGCATTACATTATACTATGAAAACTATCACAGAGAAGTCACTATGCTCATCTGTAATACACCTTCACCATCTAAGCAGCTATTGGATCTGCTAACACACTTCCTTAGCATTCAGGCCATGCTTTTAAAAACATATAACAAATGTGTCTATTGAACATTCATAATCACAGATTCAGTGAGGATTTCAGAGATGGTCCCATTTGACCTGTCAGCCACAGAACTCATTCATGTCTCACGGGTAGCTCAGCCACCAGCATCTATCTAAAAACTTTCATCATCAGAAAGGTGTCCACCTCTCCTTCCAGTAGTCGGCCAGTCTCACTGTGAAAATGTTAAAGGGGGACAAGCAATAATTTGTCTTCCTTTAACTTCCATCCAATAGGCCCAGAGGCTTTGAAACCAAATAGACAAAATATATTATCTTTACATTGCAGCCACTGAAATCTGGAAAAAAAAACCTGCTAATTCCTTTATTATCTTTTTCAGCCAAACATCACTACTTTGCTCATTATTCCTCATCCTGGATGTTTGCCAAAAACAGTCACCATTCTGCTGCCAGTCTATCAATCTGTTCCTTTTATTTTACAAATTATTTGAACAATTGAAACATGCTTTATAATAGCATTATTTCACACTTTGGAAGTACTAAATAACTTCAAATAAAGATATTTTTCTTTCTTTCTTAATTTAATGAGAAAGTGTTTTCTTATTAATTTTTAACAATCTTATAGAGATAAAATACACATACAATTTGTACACTTAAGACATATGATTTGATTGTTTTCATTATATATTTAAATATATAGAGCTATTACTATAGTTAATTTTGGGACATTTTCATGATTTCAATAACTAGTCTTTGGTTATCACCCACTACAAGCTCTGTGAAACCACTAATATCTTTTCTTTAAAAAAAATCAAGTAAACATATTTTTAAGACATAAAAAAATACATTTCAGGACCTCTCACACATGTCATAAACTTTCCTACATTAACTCAAGTCATGAAGCCTCTAATCCCATAGATTAACATTTATTTTAGAACTGAGAACTGTTGAAAACCCTAGAGATTCTATATCCTCCCTGGAAATTCTTCTGCTTATCATCTTAACATGATGTATTATATTTGAGAAATAGTTATCAATAAGTCTTTCACTTTCAAATAATCTGGTAGAACTTTGAAGGAAAAAAATGAAGGTTTTATAAGGAAATTTATAAAGAGTAGGAAAAAATATTATAGACAAAGGAAAGGCAGGCGTTACAAAGTGATTTATTCAAACTGGATCAAAAATAGTGAAGGGGGGGGAACTGGAGAAGTAAACCCATATAAAATCTTTGATTTTTTAGGTGAAGGCAAGAAATACAAAGTCATTAAAGTCTAACAGTATTGAAAGGACTTGTATTGGAGGGAGGAGAAATATGTCACATGACAAGTGCTAGGTAACACCATCACATGCCACCCATCYCTGGTTCCCTTCCCTCTGGGAGAACATCTAAGAGATAATCAGGCTGCATCTCAAATGCTTGCATAATATTAAAGTTGACATTTGAATTTTTTCATTATCTTTTTAATGTTCATTTTTAGAACATTATAGTTTTTTCACTAAATACATTTTTTTTTACATCTGCTCTATTTCTATTTAAATGTCTTTTTTCTAGTTAGCACCTTGCATATCTCCAGTTGAATTCACTGCTTGGCTATTTGGTGTCCCTTGTGTTCAGTACCAGAGCCTCCCTCTCTCCTTTGATGTTTTCCATCATGACCTCCATTTATGACATTGCACCACTCACGACAATCAGACATTCGGACCTTGTCCTCCCAACAATTACTGAGAGAACCATAATCATTGTCTTATTTATGTCATGGAAGATAATAACCAAAGCAAAATATATTATTGTAAATTATTTTAGTGACCCACAAAAGGCCATATAAAAACTAAGTGCATTTACCAAATCCCTTAGGATTGATTGCACAGTCTAAACTGTCGTATAAATTTGTATTCAAATGATGTATGTCTAGGAGATCTTGGGAGCAGGGAATGGAAAAGGCTGATTATGAAGGCACACRTAAAATTAGATGTTTACTAAATACATAAAAGCAAAAACACTTGCATGGAAGATTTATTTAGTCACAAAAATGTTGAATCTCTTCCCATTTGCACAATCTCAAAGTCAACTATTATTCCTGAAGGACACCTCTGATGTGTCAGACACCATGGTAGGGATTTCCACCCATCTTCTAGAATGATACTTTCTGAAATCCACTTGAGTTTTTTTTTACATTGGTGCAAAATGCTTTCTCATTGCTTATAAGGGATTTTCCATGAGTGGAGCATAGAATAATAGGCTCAATTTGGTAATTTTTCATTATCAGTTAGTGGCAAACAGACCATTTAATTTGTGTAATTCTGCCCTTTTTAGGCTTTAATTATATACATTATAATTAACATTGTCAGCACTGCCATCTTTTAATAGAAAACAAATTATATAGGAATGAACMTGATTCAGAGAATTATAACCTGTACACTATTATATTACAAATGTTATTATTTAGAGCACAGTTGCCTGACTTAAAAATTTTGAAATATAACCCAAGTTTTATATATGACCCCAACAATGATTTGGATGAAAATTTTAAATTTAGTTGCATTATCCTGATGTTTCTGGGGAAAACAGAAAAATGATATTATCACTTTAAATATTCTCCTATGTGGTTATAGTATAGATCCTAGTCTGTCTAATTTATTCAAATACCCAAGAGAACAAAGTTGAACTCAAGGAGTCCTGACTACAAACTAAGTTAGAAGAGGCCATTTTGAGTCATAAGTAGAATCTAGTCAAGAAAATCTGAAATTCCTGTGTTGGGACCTTGGATATATTTACCAAAATAAAGGGATTTAACTGAAATGCTTAATTATYTAAAAATATGATTATTCATGTCAAAGTTATTTGAATGAACTCTCTCCTGTACTTTGTACTTGAATTTTTGAATATTGGCACCAGTTGGGGAGGGGGGATAAGGAGAATAACCACATAAATACAATAAGCAGATGCTCTGTCAAAAACCATGACATTCAGACTTCTATTGAGAAGTTGCCCTCTGATGATAATGATCCAAGTTATTTATGCACAAAAAGGCGAGTTTCTCACATACACCCACCCACAGCAGGCTGTAATTTAATGGAGCAACCAACAAATGCTGCCAAGGGGAATTGCACTCTGTTCATATTATTGAAAATACTTACACAAGAGGTACTTAGAACAAGATAAATRCTACTATTTTAAAAGCCAACGATGAATATTACCTGATGAACAGTTCCAAAGGATTTAAAAAAACAAGAAAGAAAGAAAAAAAAAGATTCCCAAGGTTTAAGACTCCCTCTTGCCTTTGTACGGTACAGAGAGCTCTTTTATAGGAAACAGTTCATCACAGAAATCACACAATAGTGAAGAAGTAAATCTTGGGTGTCTGAGTACCTGGTGCATTCAGATTCGGAAATCACCATTCAGACAACTGTGGAAACATTACTCCTTTAAAGCCAAACTGACATGAAAAATTGAGCTACATTTGCCTGTGCTGTCTCTCTATGCTTTCTTCTTCTAAAGCTGGTTCACTAAAGCAACCCAGACAATCTCATAAAACATCTTGTAACAGGAGGGGCTGCAGGAAGAATCAAAATAAGTCTGTATTTAGCATCAGTTGCATGCATCAGAAACAAAGAGATCACTGGCCAGGTTTAATTCTTTTGCATATAAGGAGTCCTGTGTGAAGTCCTTTGTAAAAATACACATTGACGTAAAATGTGGTGTGCTCCATGGTTTATACATAGGTATTTTTGAAGAAAGGACTATAGGATGTAAATATATTTTGGCAGAACACTGAATTTAGAAATAACAAAATGTTCACATTTTAGTTGCTTGGATAAGTGGCAAAGTTGACCCTGAAAGTTTAATCATGAAGCTGAAGAATCACCTGGCATCTTCATAGCTAAAGATCATTCACAAGTTACTACTGAGCCTCATATCATCCAAAAGGCCTAGTTTGTAAAGTATGGAAACAGTTCATAGTTATCTACATAGTTTAAGTAGTTATAATGAACACATGCATGAGCAGCTTTTGACACACACACACACACACACACACACACACACACACACACATATATATATAAATAAAAGGAAGTAGATATCCCTGCATCTCTGTCATGCTACTAGAATTCAGGGTGCTTGTCACTGAGTTAAAAGGGTCATCTATTCAGGTAACTTGGAGACAGCAGAAGAAACTTAACTACACAGTAAATATACCCAGGGGGCTGTACATTCTTCATTCCATATGTGAGGTAAGGTCACCTTGAGGGAAGCTGAACAAATAGACTCCATTAATGACTAAGTAAAAAACACACCTGGAGTTTTAAAATGTTAACATTTATTTAGGGATATCTGGAATATACTGGACACCAGGCCAGTAATGCCCATGGCAGATGGCTGGTATTTACATTCTTCAATTAGACTTCACAATTGGTACTCACAGTCAGCTTTACAAAAAAAAAAAAAAAAAAAAAAAAAAAAATCAAGATATAAGAAATTTAAAAGCTTAGGGCAGTAATCATTTTTTTTAAAAATCAGTCTGAAAAACTGAAGATCTGACTCATGCAAATAATTTTATAGGGAAAAATGAAATATATTAAAATCCCATACACATATTTAGGAGCAAAGGAGACTTACCTAGTAAGTCAGTGTAAAGAGCCTGCTCCAAATCACCCAGCATCGTAAGGATCACATCCTCGTCCAGGTGAGCTGTCCCCTCCCGCAGGCAGCTTTCTCCCTCCTCTTCCGCCCAGCTTCTGCTCAGGCTGCTTGGCTTGGAGGACACATTTTCCTCTTCAGACCTACTATCTTCATCACTCTCGCCTTCCAAGCCTCTTCTTGAAGACCAGTCCTCTATGTCCTCGCTGCATGACTGGCTGCCTCCTGTAGGCAGGAGGTTCCAGGCCCCTGAGCTGCTGCTGTGGTACAGGGACTGTACAGAGCGCGAGAGAAACCTGGACAGTGAGCGCCTCTCCACATAGCTGGATTCTCTCTGGCTCGCCTTTGCAGCATTGCCAAACCAGTTGGAAATGCGCACAGTGGGTCTCCTCTCCCCCTCACTGGTGAGGGAGAGATTGGTCAGAGACTTCTGTTTCTGAAGGCAAGCTCCCTTTCTCCTTACTTCTTTGCTCYGAAACACAGAGAGTTCAGCAGGCCGCTGCATGATTCTTCTAGTGCTTTCTTCCTTTCAACTGGACTGCATATTGTCTTTTTACACTAGAATAGCAACTAGCCCTTTTGGTTTTAATTAACATATGCACTTCAATAAAAGCTCAGGCTCAAACATTCACCAAAGATTCTGGCAATATGTAACATAAAAATATTTGCCCATAACTGAGCTTGCCACATCATTTCACTGATCAGTAGTACTTACAAACATTTTGCTTAAATATATCTGAAGCAGAAAAGAGTTCATCAAAGACTCTGCTCCAGCTGAAAAGTAGCCCAGGAAGCCAACTACGTTTTCCAGTCTTCATCCAATCACATGTCTCAGCAGGATGCTGGGTCCACATTTCCCTGGATTGCTTCTCTGTTCCGATATGCGAGGTAGTGAAGCACGAATGAAACCTCTTGGTTTTTCTTTTTTCTTTTCTTTTTTTTTTCCCTCCTGCGTCTCACCAGCCCTTAACGCGATCTGGGTCCGCAACCCTTTACTAATGAGCTGACACAGTGCAGCAAGTACAACCTCCGCATCGGAGCCCAGTAAGAGCAGAAATTAAGCACTGAAGCCCAGCCCTGCACGAGCCTCTTGCATTTTAGTATTCCACCTGCATTCTCAGATCTATGGCTCTTCATTGCTGCTGCAGTGGATGCTGCTGGCTGCCATGGCAGCAAACATCCTGCTAAATTAAAACAGAGGCACGGAAGCAGCTGTCCAGCCCAGAATGCCACAGGTTTCAGAGCCAAGCCTGAACGAGATGCTATACTATTAACCCTCTGCACATTTAAATGACTCTCAGCCCCCAGCCTCAGACATGAACACACACGCGTTCACACACACTACACACACTCCCCGATGCTGAGAATGACAGACTAATTCTCTGTAGCTGCAGGCAGCTGAAGCAGGCAGATCTGCCTTTAAATGTTGGGAGTTGTGCTTTTACAGCACAAATCAAATTCAGGAGTGTAAAGGACCTAAAAAACAGAGCATGCCTCTTTAAAGGGAAAGACTATGCCTCATCTTTTAAATGACAAGTTCAAGGTATTTTTATTCTCAAGCTATTTCGTAAAATCCTGGTGTGACAATAAAAATCAAGATTTCTTCCTTTCTGCAAAGCAATAGGAAAATGAAACTCAAAAGGGTTTCCTCCAATATTTTTACTCAAAGCATACTATTGGAAGTTTATGATCAAGTGTATAGAATATAGTGATATGATAAAAAATACAAAATGCATATTATGTCTTTTGAAATTGAGAATTTTCGTGTGTATTATATAAGCCTATCACTGCATAAAAAGTGCTTAATTTTTTACATTTTGATAAAACAGAAACCTAGAAGATAAATTCCTTATATTTATTTTGTATTTGACTTGGATGTCACCACGATGAAGTTCTGATTTTAGGAAAACTTTCAAAAACAAATATATGGGGCGGGGAGATTGAAAGGGAAGGAGAGGTACTAGGGTCTGTATTAGAACAAGATATATTCCATGCTTGTATAATATGTCAAAATGGATTCTACTATCATGTATGACTAAAAACATCCAATTAAAATATATATCTATTGGGCTGGGGTTGTAGCTCAGTGGCAGAACTGCCTAACATGTGTGAGGCACTGGGTTCAATCCTTAGCATCACATAAAAATAAAAAATAAAATAAAAACATGCTGTCAATCTATAACTACAAAAAATTATTTAAAAACACAAAATATATGGTACAAAAGATATGATGTGTTCCGTTAAGAGTATTAAAGAAAAACTTTTGGAAATTTTCTACTCACAAATATCCTTTATGAAAAGGGGAAAGTGGAAAATCCAAAGAAATATAAACTGAATCATTCAAATTGATACATAAATCCTTATATGTTCAAAACTAATATAGGAAAATTGATGTGTGATTTTCCATCTTCTATTTCTAATCACAACTAGGGGAAATGCCTGACCTCCTAACTCTGAATTAGCATTATAATGTGTAATTCCTATACTTTTAAGCATGATGACTGACTTTGCTCCATTTGTCCCTACTCAAGGTAGAGAATACTTAGATCTGTTTTACAGACATATAAAAGGAATCAAATGGAAAAAACAGCTATTAATTGTAACAAAATCCGGAAATAAATAAACCTGTGATTTGTGAACGCTGATTCTCAATTTTTCACTATTTTAAAATTATATTTATCTACTATGTGCTCAAATAAAATGAATACAAATGACATACCTTTGAAACTGATAATTGAGGTTTCTAAAAAAATAATTTTATTAAAACATTACAAGGACTGAATGCCACTGCTCTTGGGTTTCCCAAACAAAATATATTTTTTTCTTCATTTCAAATTATTGGGACCCATTGAATTTTCAAGTTATGACACCATAGTGAAATTTATTGAAGCTATACAACTTCATTTGCTTGACATGTATTATACTGGTCTATGATATTGTGCCCCAAAACCTTACAGATTCACAAAAAAGGGAGTCTTCATACTTTAGATGTCAAAAGAGTTGCCTAAGAATGAAAAAAAAATTGTTGCCTATAAATGAAATCAATTTCCCATTCCTTGTGCAATAGTGCTTACCTACCAATCTGCTTACACAAGTTGTCCCCACATTTAAGTGTTCAAAACCACTTTAAGGTGTATTAAAACACAGTTTCCTGGCTCCAGCTCCACAATTGCTCAGTCAGTAGTCTGAGGTCCTGACATTGCATTTCTAACATATCCCCAGGTTCTGCTGGCTCTGGGACCCCAGTTTAAGAACTACTAGATTGGAAATAGTACCTGGGGCAATTCTGCTTCTTAAGGGACATTTGATAATATTGGAGACATCTTTGATACCTGGAGAGTGTGGTGGGAGACATCTAAGGGGTACAGGCCAATGACATTGCTAAACATCCTACAATGACAGGTCAGAGTACCACAATAAAAAATTAGGCAGTGTATAATATCAATAGTGTCAAGGTTGAGAAATCCAGGTTTAGAGTACCTTTCAAAAACAATGATGTACTTCATCTGAGGCCACTCTTTATTACTTTCAGCTCTTGTTCAAGTACTCTTTGTTCTAAGAGCCATGCTAAAGGGGCAACCCCAGTATGGAATGTGTTGATCTCATGACAGAGAAAAGGAGAACTGACAGAGGGAGAGAAAGGCTCTTAGAGCTTCTGCTCAGGAATGGCCCACGTCACTTGTCTACACACGTTTCATTTATCAAATCAAATCACATGGTCCTTCATGATTCAATGGGGTGGGAAATATAACCCTCTTGTAGGGGTGAGCCCAGGAACSGGTGGGCTACATTCAACAGAAATATAAGAGGAAGATGGCAAAGAAGAACCTAACAGAGGAAATGTCAAAAGGGGATTTGTGTTTCTTTGTTTAAAGATACTATTATTAACTTGTAGCTATAGCAGTTTTGCCTCTGAAACTACATTAGTACATTACCCTGAACCAATAGTAGGAGACCCACTTATTGCTTCCCTAGAGATATCTATCCCTCTTGTCTTAAATGGACATTCATACATGGGCATGTTTATACTAATTTGGATTCACACATATAAATATATGTTATACAAGGGAGAGGAGGAAATAAATACACACAATAAAAAAATGTGAATTCATTTGATTTTGCCAAGACCTAAAATAAAAGTACAGCTACTATTATATTCTGAAAAAGAATTATTTTCAGTTCTTTAGTAAATATAATTATAATGTGACTATTTAAGTAAAAGATATAAACTGATTTGAATTACCCGAGCTTGATCTTCTTGATCTTTATAAACATTCAAGAAAAAAAGGCAATTTTAGTTATCATTTACAAAGGTCTTAAATGCCAGATATCCCCCTTTACTTGATACAAAGTCTGGTAACTTAGAAAAATATATACAATCCTTACATTATCCTCAGTTCAACCTAAATGCTTACTTCTAAGACCATTTCCTGAATTTATACAATTATTTTAATATCATTTAAAAATGACATTCCAGTTTTATTGGCATTAAGTCAATATGACATCTATCAACATTTTTCAGTTGAATATAAATTCCAGATAAAGGCTAAGCAGTGGGTTAAATAGGTGTCTTAGTCTTATGTAAAAAAAGAAAAAAAGAAAAAAAGGCAAGYGTGAAGCTATGCAGAAAATAAAATTAAAATATTTCTTGAATTGAAATGAAAATTTAGGCTCATTTTATATTTGGCAGGATCTCCTGGCACTTGATGAAAGGGATGGCCTCAGAGGACAAATTCTTTTTGTTAATGAATGTGAGAATAAAATCCAAGCCAAAGCAGTAAAATCTATACCATCAATTCAGCCAGTCTTGTAATATCAAGGTTGTGACATGAATCTTAGAGGATAGATGGGCAGGAAGCAAGGAGCTCATTTGTTCATTGCTGCAAATTATATAATACATAATAATAATTATTGGAACCAGCATCACCAAAAAACATCATAAGTCTTCTCCAAAAGAATATGATAAACAAAATGAAATTTGAGTGATGTACTTAAAGAGTTTGGAGAGACATTCTTGAAGACTTATAAAGATCTCCCAATTGCCACTCATGTCACTCATTTCTGATGGTTATCTTCACACCATGATTTAATTACATTTTGAACTTTCACTGCCACTTAATGACAAAGATAATGTTTTTATAACTTCAAGTGAGCTATTACATTGATGGAATTTTCAACAACTATACTTCCTATCTAACAGTGAATCAATCCCTCTAACAAATCTACATTGCAGTCTGAACCAAGTTTGCTCCTTAACAGTATTTCAAATCTGTGCATGTCTTGCATTTTGTACCTCATGAAAAGGGGTGTTTATCACATTTGTTTAACCACAAAAAGGATTTTTTCCTGAGTAACATATCTAAAAATTTCAGAGAAGGAGAGTTTCAGATATGTATTATTCAGGGGCTCAGATATTTCTTACAATGACCTCAGGTTCATTTTCTGCTGCTTTAGGTTCTATTTTCTCTGTTGCTTTATTTGAGGGTATATGTAACTGCCAGCAGGACTCAACTTACTTTTTTTTTATTAGCTTCTGATCTCATGGAAAAAATAGAACCTCTCTTCCAGAGCAGTCTAAGGAAAAGATCTGAGATTGAGCCTCATTTGCTATGACTGAACTAGATCAGGTCAWAAATCCACTCCTGAAACTGTCACTCTGGTCAAGGAGGGGTTGTTCTGATTGACTCTACTTGGGCTAATTTCAGTTGGCCACATGARCACAGAATGATCCCCAAGGAAAGTCAAGATGGTTTTGTTATCAGAAGATGAAGCAATGGATATGGGTCAGAAAAGCTGCACCAGGACTTCAGGGTAGATTACTTTGTGGTTAAGCTATAGATCCCCTAACTCACTGTATGTCTTCTGAGGTGCTGTACCTTATTTTAGATTTTTATTTTTGTATTATTTTCAGGATCCCTCATGTTATATAGGCTTCAAAAATTCACAAAACCTGAAATATACTCTGCCAAGACTAACTCGATCAGAGTTCTAGATCTAAACACCACTTCACTTAGGATGCAGGACAGAATTATTCCCACTGATGTCTCCACAGTGATCATTGGAAATAAAAATCTAACCATAGTAGTAGCACTGAAATTTGGGGATATGGGATATTCAAGTGGAAAGTTTGTATAAGGAGCTGAATATTTGCATCCAAAACACAGGGGAGAGAATTAGAATAATTTGTGAGCCATCCATACATGGATGAGATTTAAGACCATGATATAGTATTAAATCACCAAAGGAAGAAGGGGCCGGCCTTCGAGCGACAGCGGCGCAAGATGGCAGCCACCACGGGTTCGGACAATTTATGAAAACCGAATATACAGCCTTAAAATAGAATGTGGACCTAAATACCCAGAAGCACCCCCCTTTGTAAGATTTGTAACAAAAATTAATATGAATGGAGTTAACAGTTCTAATGGAGTGGTGGACCCAAGAGCCATATCAGTGCTAGCAAAGTGGCAGAATTCATATAGCATCAAAGTTGTTCTGCAAGAACTGCGGAGCTTAATGATGTCTAAAGAAAATATGAAACTMCCCCGGCCTCCGGAAGGACAGTGTTACAGCAATTAATCAAAAGCAACGCCACCAGCCCTCCCCCATTCAATTTAAGCAGTCTTCATTCTCCACCGTAGTAAATTTTCTAGATGCGTCTTGTAGACCTCAAAGTACTGGAAAGGAAGCTTCCATTCRAAGGCAATTTATCTTAAGATACTGTAAATGATACTAATTTTTTGTCCATTTGAAATAYATAAGTTGTGCTATAACAAATCATCCTGTCAAGAGTAACCACTGTCCATGTAKTTGAACTTCTGAGATCAAGAGAGTCTATTTAAATTGATTCCCATCCTGACCAGTGGGGCACATCTAACTCAACTGTGAAAAGAGACGTCACACAATCACCTTGCTGCTGMTGATTCGGCCTGAGGGCCCTGCCTTCTCCCCACTGCCCTGCCAGCCCTGGGACAGCCCTCCAGCAGAGGCTTGCTAGAGTAGAGCAAAGATTTCAGGTCACACCCTGGAGACTGCTGCTGGGTGTGGGGTGCTTTGCCTGCAYCCTGGTTACTTTCTTAAGTCTTAAATGACGCCCCTTCCAAGCCATCGTCCTGCCCCACTCTCCTCCACTCCTGTCCTTGGCTGAAGCATAGATTGTAACCCTCCGCCCCCTTTGAAATTGGCCTTCGCGAAGAATTCAGGGCTTCCCCCCCCCACACACACCTTGATCGAGGGATGCTGCTTTTTCCCTCCTCCTAACTCCCTTGTCCACCTTCACCACCCGGCACTCTCCACCTCCCCCCTGGCTTGGCCAGAAGCCATCAGGTCAGATTGGAAATCTCTGACCTCCTCCTCCACATTTGGAACCACGTTTGACCACTTTCCACCAGCCCAGGAAATGAGCTTTGGGTCCTGGGTCCTGCCACTCTGCTGTCACCCTCAGCYGATGYATCTTTGGCCCAGGTCTTTGTAAGGTGGACAGGGCAGTCCCCAGGGTGACATAGCCTGCCGGCCCTCAGGGTTCCTCTGTTTAGACCTCCAGGAGGCCTCCTGGAGATGCCTGTGAGCACACAGGGCCCCTCGGGACTGTTCCCTTTCCTGTAATGACGTGGCTCTCAGACGTGAAGAAGGGTGAACAGGGCTCTCTGTGGGGCGCGCCTGCCATCTCCAAGAGGGCCTAGTGTGGAATCTGACAACTGGAACTAGAGGAACCTGGACCCAGCGCAGATACTGGTTTTGGTGCCGCTGCCTCCCAGGTGCTCAGCAGGGACTGAGGAGGAGCTGGTGTGCACAGCAGCTCCCAGCRTTGGCGGGGCCTGGCCTCCYGRCACWT